GGAATCCTTAATATTCTAAAATCATAATTACATTTAATTAGATCAAATACTATGTTCAAAATCATTAAACAATTAAATTAATATCATTATCATTATTACTATTATAAATAACAATAATAAATAATTTTGATAATGAAAACAATAATAATAACAGCAAAATTAATTGTTACAGAAATGCTAAATTGATTAATGCTCATTGAGGAAATGGGGTTAACTGGCGATTTTGAAAGCAAGAAATTAAGTGAGAACGTGCCAGTGATTGAGTAAATGATATGGGTTGACTGTGTAATAATGACGTTGCCATTGCAATGGAGAACACACCACAATCTGTACTGCCTTTTTGCTTCTGTGTGCTTTGTGGAACAACAATCTCTATTTCTTCCTCAAAAATATCACCAATAATCTTTTTTGTTTGTTCATCAATGTCTGTGTATATTGAATCATATACAAACATCATTCTATCAGCTTCAGCAGCAGGTAAATTAGAAACTACTATCCAATGATTAGTACGGGAGTGAAGGATCTGAACAACACTCTGGTGACTATTAAGTTTTAATCTATTCTGCAGAAGAGTAGAATCTAGCCCTTGTGTCTCTGGAAACTGAGATTTGAGAAGATGCTGTGCAAAGTTGATGTGCTTGCCGTTCAAAATGCCACCGCTCTCAATGATCACTTTTTCATCTACTGTTAATTTAAAGCGACCATGACGCACCCAACAACTGTCCAAATCAGATTCTGAATCATCAGATTCATCACAATCATCCACATCTATTACTTCAGCTGTTTTCCTCTTCTTTGAGGGAGGATTTTCTACAAAGCCAGAAACGTCATCACACAGCACCAACAATTGCTTCACCTTGTCAATCACCATGGACTCTCCTTCAATGAGCAACAAACACGGGATTTCTAGGCCACCCTGGATCAGGTCTCTAGAATATCTTCTCGCACCAGTAACTTTACAGTCGATTCTACCACCTCTTCTTAGAAATAACGAACATGTTGAACTTATCTTCCTTGGCAGATGTCCCACAATTGTCCCAGACTTCATTACTTTAACGGCAAACTGATCATGCCTGTTATTTGTTTCTCGGGCACAGCTAAGAGTCTCTCCTATAAAGGGAGTCCACCTTTCTTGGTATACGTGATAGCCACGGATACACGAAGGGAATTCATATCGAATAATGCTACCACTCATGTTGCTTCTTCTCCAAGTCCAGCTGCAAGGCTAGCTGCCACGTGGATAGGCGTGGTTTTAATCATCACGAAAATTTTATGTAAATCACGAAATTTTTTTAACGAAAATTTACTTGAAAACAAAAATGTATGGAATCACGAAAATTTTCACCCACAAAAATTTGACGCTATACGGTATGACACTAGTACTGATGTATATTGATGATAGATTAGTAATTGTTAGTGTGTTCAGTAGATAACACTATCACTGACAAAACATTAGCAATATACCGTATAGCCGGTTTTTTCGAGGATAATAAATTTCACGAATGACCCATATCCGGAAGTTTGCAGAATTAATTTTTGCAAATCTCCACTAATCTGCCATCTTGTACCGTATTAAATTGATTTTCAAGGAATTTAATTTCGCGAATCATTAAAAAATCCGCGAAAGTTGTGAAATTTGTTATCCTCGAAAATTTCCCGCTATACAGTACCGTATAGCAAGCTATTTTCGTGTGTTTAAATTCTTGTGGTTTGCTCCTAGTGTGGCAATTTGTGGTTTAATTTTCGTGGTTGACAGTTTACATAGCCTGTAAGGGGATGGCACTTCAATGATTTTGTGGGTTTTAATTCGTGGAAAGCCCCAAAACCACGAAAATCATGAAAATAAAATGCCAAAAAAATTACCTGCTATACGGTAATAGAACCACCCACACATTTAATTAAGAATTACACATTACATGATTTTTTGAACCAACACTATTAGCACATTTCCTATTCTTAATGTTGTGATCCATATTTTGTTTTTCTTCACATGATGCCAACTTTTGTTTGCTGATGGTGAGGACTAGAATTGATTTTACAATTACAATAAATGTAACGATCATCTACATATGAAATGATACAATTTCTCATTTTTATAAGTAACTGTATAAACATCATGTATCAGTAATTACTTGTATACTTCTCTTTATCTACAGATTCCTCTACCTGAATCTGTTACTGGTAGATACAGTCACTCACTCACAGCAGTCACAATGTCACCACACTGTGTGTGGCTAGTAATTGTTGGAGGATGTGGAGAGTTTAAAATGAAAGATGTCGGAGGAGGAAAGAAGGCCGTGCCATGGAGTATACCCATCACTGATACTAATAGACTAATAATGATAATTGAATTAGGTAAGATAATATTAATCAATTGTAAGGATATGAGCATTAAATACATAATTACATTAAATAATGTACCACTCATTTTTATAGTATGTACATTATTTGTAAATTTCAGTTCCTAATATGACGTACATTTTCCATTCATTTTGTATACTGTACACACTACAATACCACTGTATGTGTGGGTGTGTATTTACAACCACTATAAACAATACCATTAGTTTATAAATTACCGTACAGCAGGAAATATTTGCGGGGAATTAAATTTTGTGAGTTTGCGATTCCATTTAAAGCGCAAAATTTAAATCCGCAAAATAATGAAATTCAAGCATGACCACAGTATATAATGCTACAATAACTGTCAAAACCGCAAATATTTAATCCGCAAACCAGGTTATTTTTAAGGATTCGCAAAATTTTTCTCCGCAAAATTAACCAGCTGTACGGTAAATACATTTATTTATAAATATATAATGTATCTTATTGTCTCTCAGTATATAGTGAAGCTGGTGAGTGGATAGTACAGTCAGTACTGGATGGTAATGATCTCACTAGTAAGAACTATCAAGAAAAGTATCAATCGTACAGCAAGACCAGAACATGGTGGATGGATCAGCTAATAGAATATCCGACAGAGAGGGAAATGAAGCTTCAGAGATATATACAATCTTTACATGAAGACCTACAGGTGGGTCATCAGAGCAAAGTATCA